AGCTTCAGTGAGAAAGAAATATTGATCTCAGATTGCTAGATTTGAAGTTAGATGTGTGAGATACGGGAGTCAGAGTAACCCACTACAGAAGGTATTTAGTGCAAATTATTTTTCGGAAGATCATTGTACAAAAGATGAAAAGAAATAAGGAGCATAAAAACAAGTAATTGCAAGTGAAGTGTTCATTCTAAATTGTTTAAAATGTTTTGTCTTCTTAAGCAAGTACTATGAGTTCATGTGATTCTCCAAACGTTCCAGTCTGTAAGGTTTCGTAGGAAGCAGTAGGATTGGTTCACCTCCACTGTCAACTGCTTGTAAGTCCTTAGTTGTAATAGTTTGCTCAGTAAAATGAGAATCCACTGCAACTGCTCTACATTGCTTGAATGTCTCCTTGCCAGTGTTGTTTTTTTCTTTCTTATTTTTTTTCTCCTGTGTTTTTTTGCACAGTGTGCTTTTCACTCAGGCTCTTGTGACATCAGTGGCGAATGTCTGTGAGGAATTGCCTCAGGCCAGTGTGACTTTCAAAGGATAAGACAATTTGTTACCTTGCCAATGAACAGTTTATTACATTTCTAATTATTGTTATTAGTCTTGCAGGTGGTGCCATGCATGATATTTTTACAACTGCCAAAGATGCTGGTTCTTCTTTCATGACAAAAAAAACCCTGAGTAAGACTTAAAGAAAACCCAGGCATTCTGCTGTAGTACATGTTTGATAATTCTTTGTGCTACCATGCTACCATGGTGTATACAGCACCTAGCTATTTTTAAATCTGAAGCTGAAACATAATGATTCTTGAAAGATTTTGTTGTGAGAACAATTGTAATCAGGGTGTGTTAGCAGCCTAAGTTAGGAAGGTATCTCTTCCTCCCTCTCAAGCCCTTTCTTCTAATCTTATTGCTCTACTTCTTGTGTAAATTAAAGACTCATCATATTTATAAACTCTTAGAGTTCATGTTAATCACCACCTAAGAACACCAATATTCCTCTCCCAATGAACTAAGTTCCTAAACATAGAGACTTTTCTCTCTCTGGTTTGTAGGATTCCATGCAGTCAGATTCAAGAAATAAAAATGGTAGAAATACTATGTGCATTTCAGTATGGGCTAATGCAATACCATACTGTGCCTTTTGAGCAGCACAGTCCAGTTCCACCCAGTGCTATCTGTACAGAACAGTTGATAAAGCGCATCATGCCTTTTGCTTTGTCACGTATTGTGTGGCAAAACATCATTTCTTAAAATAGTTTCACATTGCTTATTCTGCTTCAGAAAATACTGAATGATTTCATGTCACACTACGACTAAAGAGAAGTTAATTTGAAGGGAATAGAGCTAGGAAATAAATTTGCTGTTTTCATGGCCAGCACTATGTGTGGTCTCATGTAATCGATATTGCAATAGCAGCTACTTTGTTCTCATTTGTGTGATTACTATCTTAACAAACATGAAGCATATTTTTCTGTCATTCTCATGATACAAAAAAAAAAAGTTGTTCTTGTAAAAAAAAAAAATTCTTTTTATATATAACCCACTTTGCTGCTTTCCTGTTTGCCCAGGAATATCAAACAATCATACTCAGGAGAACCAGACACAGGATTTTACTGTACTACACTTCAGTTCGAGGAACTAAGGAGACGGGACAGCCTTCTTGTCCAGTTGTGTCTCTGTCCCCTGCCTTGATGTTTTGTGATATGGCTGTGTTGTGACAAGACAAGTTTCCTTAATGCCACATTTATGTCCTCTAAATATGGAATGTAAACAGGCAGTAACAGGAAATTAAGTAGTGTGTCCTGTAAGGAAAAAAAATTGATATAATGGTTTGGTACAAGATTTAATGTTTTTGTCTTTCTGTGACTTGGAGGAACTGGAGCTGTGCTAGAATTGTTTTGGGATTTGGCTGACTTATGTATGCACCCGCCAGAGCTCCAGGTAAGAACTGATCTTGCTGGAGCAGAGAGCATGGGCATGTTTTGGAGTCATTCCCTGCAGGGGCTGTTCATTTTGGCCAAAAGTGGCACTGATTCAAAATAGTGGCTAGAGAGATATTACATACTTGACTGCACCTGGTGCAGAGGAAACCAAAGATGTCAGTCCCCTCCCCTTTCCCCATCAATTGTCTGAGATACAGGTGTGTGGTTACAGTGTAAACAGACCAAAGATTTTTCTTCTAGGCTAATAAGCTGCACACATTTTTTCTTATAATATCTCTGCCAGAATATAGAAGCATACAGTATGAAGTCCTGCAGTTCCACACACCCTGTGCACACGGTGGAGAAAGACTTTTGTTTCTGCAGACAGAACCCACCCCTCCGGCAGCTATACTTCATTTTTTTCTAAATATATTTCAGGGATTGATTTTTCTCTTGTCCATACACCATGCTTTTTATCGACTGTCAGGGGATCTTAAATTAAGAGATAATGTATGAGCATTAAAATTAAGTTTGTTTTTTCTGTGCTATTAACTGATCCTTCTGTTGTGACTATCCAGAAGGACGGTAGCTCTAGCTGTGGCCATTGGCTTTCGCCACTAGAGGAAAAACTGTTCTGTCTTCGTCCCTAAGCTTGTAAGCTGCATTGAGCAGTCCAGTCCCTGAAAGTCATCTGAACAAATTCTGATGATGTTACTGTTTGCTGTGTACCCTGGATAAAGATGTAACACTAAAGGACTTAACAAGATTGTTTCAGATTGGCTAGGTAGTACCTTCTGAGACTACTATTTCTTCAGTACCAGTTGTAGTGCTTGATACCACAACACCGCTTTCTTAGGTGTAAGGAGAAAAGAAAAAGCACACGTGCGAGGAAGCTTGCATTGTACAACCGTGTTATCTGCAGTGCAGACAAATGATTTATGATTGCATGTTTCATGTAGTAGGAATGATATTGCCAGAGGGAAGAAAAAGGAGGAAAATTCAAACTCCCTTCAGGTGACAGACGTCTTAAAAATAAAGAGGATCCTTTTGAATTTTCTGGCAAGTCTCATCAGGATAGTCCTACAGCAAAGAGGGAAATGTGACTTTCCCTTTGCAGTTGCTACAACTGCTCCAGAATAACCACTACTCACTGTCTAAGATCCCCATGATAGGCAACCAGGGAAACTGCTGCCATAACAGCTAACTGTACGGAGACTGTATTCCTCTTCTGCTTTTGCACACAGCTTGCTCTTCTGACATTGTGTAATTCCATAACAATATGGACATTAGTTTCACAGAGACCTCTGACCACTTTCCCTTTTGCTTTAGAGAAAGAAATGAGAAGCTCTGTAATCAGCAGGATTAAAGAAATTCGGTGTCCTAGGGCTTTCTGTTCCCTTCCAAAGAATGGAAAGCCCTAGGTCCCAGTGGCAGGTATTGGGAAAACTTGAAATTGCTCTGCTTCTTGTAGACTAGACAGGGATCGAAGGAAATGAGGAAATTCCTGTAATGCTCCTAGGCTGGCAGGAGAACCTTAGTACTAATCTGAAGTCAGCTGAGTAGCATAAACTTGAAGCAGTTGATCATACTCAATGTTAATATTTCAAGTACAGTGCTATCTAAAATAGTCACGACTAATGCTTTAAGATAGATACCTTACTCAGGCATACAAGGTCTGAGCCTTGAAGCAGTTGCATCTGCATCACGCATAACAATATATAAGGGTTGAACTCTTGAATTAACTGTTCTGTGCCTTGTCTATTTTCAAGTTAGTTTGTGGTTCCTTTTCTTCTTACTTTTTGACAATTTAAATGAATTTTTTATTTAACTGGGTTGATTAATATACTTCATATTTTGCAGCTGTTCTGTCATGCACTGCCTTTGAAAAGCATTCTTCTTGTTCGGTTGCTTTCACCTTAGCTATTCAAGGGTGTTTTCCGAGGAAGATCACCACCAGCCTAGGTGCTTGGCCTGGATTTGGGAATTTTGGGCATGCGCCGGTTCAGTGTCTGCAGCCACTAGATGGCACATTGCAAGAGCAGCTGCACGTCCTGAATAGCAACTTGACAGTTTCAGTCTGTTAGTATGATTAAGGGATAAATAATGCTAAATGTTTCTTTAATAGGAGAAAATGAACAGCATTGACAGTAGTGATTAAGTTCTATTAAACAGTTGTTATTTTGGACACCAGGTGATTAGTGCATTCAAACCACTTTATTTCCAGACTTTGGCACCTTGGTCATTACTAACTCAAATCATAAAGTTCAGTGAATCAAGTTGTAAATAGTTTTATTGGTTACGTGTTGGAAAAAAATTGAGGGTTGTGAAATGCCTTGATGATTTAAAGTTACGTATTTCCTAAGTCCTTGTATTTCTGTTTTCTGTTCTTTATTTGGCTATTCATCACTGCAGAAATTCTAAACTCTGTTTCTGCCTTTGCAAGCATTAAATCCAGCATGCTAATTGAGAGCAGAGAGTTGTATTCCTAGAACAAACATGCCGAATGGAGAGAGTTGGGGTTTTGGACTAAGATGAACACTACTACCAACATGCCGTAGTTATCTGAAGGAGGAATTACCTCCAGGGATGAGAGTGGAACTGCTCTTACAGCTTCTGGAGAAAGGTCCTTATTTACATACATGCTGATGACAATTGGATAAAACACAGGACCTTCATGTTTCTGTTGGTGTGTATTTTGTTTTCTGAAAATATTTTTCATATTTTTGAGGATTATTTTATGCCTATTATTAGATAAGGCTTCCTTCAAAGCAGTTTTTTGGTTTTGTGGTTTTGTTGTGGGGTTTTTTTGTTTTTTTTTTTGTTTTGTTTTTTTTTAATGAAAGCTTAGGAATTAAATTGTAAGATCCAGATACATTTCAAGGTTTTGGTGCTATAGAACAAGGCTTCCTTGAAGTTCATTTTAATAACTTTTAAATGACTGGAAGCAAATTTTTGGTTTCTCCAAACCAACTTGAGGATTAAAAAGACGTGCTGGCTTTATCCTGTTTTGGCTTTAAAGTTGTTATGTGTTCTGTGAAGTCTGTTTATCATTTCAGTGCTTAATGAAGTGACCTTTGCATCACTTACATGTCACTTTACAAATTTCTGTCAAGATGTTCATGACGAAGTGCCTTTCTCAAATATAAGCTATTTTCAGTGTTGTATTAGCCTACTTAAAGTTCATCTGGTTTTCTAGTGTGGTCATGTGTCGTAGAAATGTGTATGTTTACCAGCATAAGTCTTTTGTATTCTCTTCAGTGTACATGTATGTGCCTGTAGAACTTGCGTGTGTGTGTGTGTGTCTGGGCAAGGCAAGACAGCACCATAACTCCAGGGAAAATGGAGGAGGTGACTGCGAGTCACCCACTTACTCACTGGCATATACTGTGGGAAACCTGTATTTTGTGGTTTTGTAGAGCACTTGCTTTTTGGACAAGGCAGGCAAGAAGGCAGACATCCCCTTCTCATCAAGGAATTTATCACTTACAACTCTTATGTAAAACAAATGTAGTGTCAACTCTGAAATGAAGAGCTGCACTGGAAATCACACCTAACTACAGCAGGTGCTGAGCTGGCAGTTTCACAGAAGATTGTGAAATTTGATCACACAATGGGAAATTGAGCCACTCCTTGAGGGCAATATCTGGAAACATAATGGGGAACCACCCTTCAAAGGTGATCTGTGTAATAATGGGGCTTAGAAACACTTTCTACCTGCTTTGCTTAGAAAATTATGAACATTTTTAATACTGTTACTGGATTTTGCACAAGTACACTATATTTAGCTGTACCTCACCTAGTCCTGCGCTCAGACACACCCAAGGCAATAAACTGCCTGGTGTGTACTTGCTACTACCATCACTTCAAGGTGGAAACCATTAATGAAATTTTCTGTTCTCTTTATGTGCTGGTGTTATTGTTAGCTTCTCTTCTCTGTCTACAGACTACAACTTTTCACCTGTTTTCTCTTGGAAGCTGGGCAATTGTATACCCCTTGAGTAACTTTCACTGCAGCCATTTTCTGGTAAGTCTCTAACCTTTATATACTCATACATGCTAGTGAAGATGGAACACCTAGCATTACTGCACTGGCACTATGACACTCTGTGCTACTTGATGTTTCCCTTCTTCCTTCTTGAGATTGCCATAAAGATTGCACCTGTGCTCCTGCATGTACTTATGCACACCACAGCCTCTGAATAATGTAGACTAATAGAAAAGACTTCAAAGAATCATAACACAGTTTTAAAGGGCTGGAAGGAGAGGCTGATGGGAAATGTTATAAAAATTCAACATTTCCTGCTTAGCTAAGCAGTTGTTTAGAAGGACATGTAAACTATGTGCATGTATTTCAAAGAAAACAGAAACCAAAAAAAAGCAATGCACACTGCCCTGATTCTGTAGACAAAGAGCAAAGGAGGGAGAGGTTTGCAGCAAATCATCTGCTTGAGTTTGTAATTTTGTTAGGTATGCAGACACAGGGTGAGTGGGGTAATGAAAATATTTAGACAGATTTGGGTGTTATTTGATAGAGGTAAATGCAAAAGGAAAGAAGGTGAGTAGTTTAGCAGTGACCTGACCAAGTCATTATGTGATTGAAATCAATTACCCAGGAGCTCATTAGCAAAAGAGAATAGATGTCCTTCCTTCTTGTGCTGTGAATATTCTATTAGATCCTTATCACATTTCAAATCAGAACACTATCTTTCAAAGCCACTGAAGGGTTAATACCAGACTGTTCTTTCTGAGACAGTGATTTTCCAGAGCAACTGTGCTTGTCAGGCCAATGAAGCTATCAGTGCAAAGGCAATCAGTGATCAGCAGATACCAGAATTGTCTTGACAGTTGAAACTGGAAGTAAACTACTGCAGGTCAGTGAATTACAACATTTTTAAATCAAACATGCAATGCACTTTGCCCTGGTCTCCTAACAATAAGGATACAGAAAGAAAGAAAAAAGATGTTGAAGAGCATGCATAATATTTTAGAGTGAAATTCACTCCCATTCACTCTCATTGAACCAGTATGGTTCACGTGGGATTTCAGAAATGTGATAGACTGTGCAAAACTTAGGTGGGCAACAACGGAACAAAGCATTTAGCACAAAGTTCAGGGGCAAGTGTTGTATAACTGATCTGTCTGAACCCAACATCATTTATGGTACTAAGTGCTTGGTTTGTCAAAATGACTTTGGATATTCCAGTATCTTTGTCAGTTTGGTCATTAGGAGTCTGTGTGCTACTGAAAGTCAGTTCGAGCAGAGTAAGGATTAAATATTTGACAGTACTAAAGGCTCTTGAAAAAGAAGATCTTGGTTTTGAGAGTCCAAAATTGGGACTCTTTTGAGTCAATTGAGAAAACTGGGCTCTTAATGATAAAGTAATTATTACTTTAACGATAAGAGAAAATCAATTATGCTATCTTCTCTGATTATTTCAACATATTTTAAGGAAGCACAGAGACAAGCAGTTGGTACATGGAAGACAGAAGTAGGAGCAGTGACATATAACAGGAAAAATCTCCGTAACACAGGGGGTACAAAAAAAAAATCTTTAATATAATCATATGTATTTTAGGATACACGGATTCTCCTCTTCTCAAGAGAATATTGCTATTCTTATTATGACCTTGCAGGTTGTAATCTTACATAAATAACAATGGGACAGATATTCTAGGAAAAAATGGTCTTACATTCATAACAAGTGGACCGCAAATAAATATGTTTCAAAGTAATGGAACAGGCTGACAGTATGTGATTTGTCTGTAATCATACAACACGTGCTTTGCTGTGAACGCCCATAGAGTATATAACAATCGTGTACATTTCGAACATATACACAGAGGCCTGTATAATCATATACAGGTAAATATTCACATTAGTTGTGACAGTATACAGATATATGTATGAAATCAGGTACATAGTCTCTCTCCTTCCTTTTACATACACCCCTCTCTTCTTTCTCACTGCAGATTTCAGACTTCACAGGTGGAGCTTGAAAAGCGATGTAACTAGTACTTGGTGAAAATCTATGCCTGCTGAAACAGAAAACGTTATGGTACCTGGAACAGTTGAAAAGCCAACGATTACCTCGTGTTACTGCTGGGGTGAACAAAATTGCCTGTGAAACAGCACTGTTAGGCAATTTTATTGCTGTTATCAACTGAATGATTTTGCTTGTAGGTGGCTTGTCCTTTTCCACAGAACAGGCCTGTCTCTTAACCACTGCTTTGGCAAAACTTGTGTAGATGATAGTCTTGCTCTCATTGCAGTCTTAACAGAAACAGTTGCTGGTTCCCTTGTCTCACCATATTACAGGCATGTACCTGTCTTATTTGCCCAAGATGGGAAAGTTTGCAGTTGGAACAAAGATGAAGCCCAGGTGTTGATGGCTAGAGTTATCGTCAGAACTCCTAGGATGTTGAGTACAAACCCAGCTTTGGCCTAGAATTATAAAAGAGAAGATTTATTAGTTGAGCTGAGTACTTTTTTCCTTTACTGCTGATTAGGATTGTTTATATGGCTAGATTTTCTCTTTGGCCTTTTTTCACAGCTCCATCAGAACTCCAGCAAATTACATTTAAGCTGGTTTTCTTCACAAATATAAATTGTGTTAGGGGAAAATGAGTTCCTATTGGATGAAAGTCTTAAACTAGAAGTCATAAAATCCTTTTAATCCACTTATGTAGGACCTGCTCTTCTGAATTTGCATCTGTCTCTAACGTTACTTCGGATTTCTTCTTGGATGAATCAGAAACTAGAAAAGTTATCAAGAGATATGGCATCCTTATCCATTTTTCCTGAACATATTGAGAAAGGGCATCAGGGTAGCCAAGTGAGATGTGGTAGGCTTTCCCCTAGTCCCTGCAGAAGGGCTGTGCGGGTGATAGGACACTCTGACATCCCTCTGATCTACATTTGGGCTTTTTGAACAGTTAGACATTACCATTTCTCATTGACAGCAAGCTCCTGTTGGAACATCTCCAAGAGGCCTTGGGTGTTTTTCAAAAGCTCAACAGCATCTTTATAAGGCTCTGTGTACATATTAGAGTCACTGTGACCCTTTATTAATTCACACACATATGTTCTTCTTTCCATTTGACTTTAGCTGAGTACAGTGAGTCTTCTAACATTCTTTCAAGAATAACCAATATTAGAAAAAGGAAAGATCAAAACTAGTCATGAAAATTCTGAAAAAAATGCTCTTTTGCTCACCATATCTATAACCTTCAGCTGTCCATAGGAGAAGACAATGGCGTTAGGAGGAGTGGCCACTGGAAGCATGAATGCCAGCGATGCAGAAATTGTACAGGGAAGCATGACATAGAGTGGGTTGAGGCAGATCGCTTCAGCCTGTGCGAGAAGGGAGAGCAAAGATGATGGTTTCAATCTACAAAAATGCATGGAAATCTTTTGGTGGAAGACCGATTGTATTTGTCCATCTCAGAAACCTTGTTGTTCCACAAACACTGCAGCCACTCATATTTTGGTTCTGCTTTAGAAACTTGTAGCCAATGTCTTTATGCAGCAGATGCAAGAACTGATTTTGTGGTCAGTGCTTGCGTTCCTGATTGTGGAGTGCAATCACTCGTGCAGTGTAAATTAAGAATAATGGTTGTATTCAACTGTAAAGCTAGGAAACAATGTAGAGTGGCTTCAAACTGGTTAAGAACAAAATTGAATTATCAGGGGAAGCAGGGTAGCCCAAACTCTGAAAGCGAGTGGATCAGTTAGGGCTTAGCTGAAGTCTGTGCAAGAAGATATTGCTGGAGCTTCTTCCAGTTTCTACCTGGAACCGGCTTTTAACACTGCAACACTATGTCTGCCCCGGCAACAAGAATCTCATGTGGAAATGCAAAAGTCTGAATTAGGTCATAGAGCCTGACTAATGCTATCACCTTCAGAGACTTCTGGAAGGCTAGTGGTCGGAGTGAAATACAGTAATGGAATGTTGCAGGGAAGAAAATGCTGCCACTGCTGCTGTCTCTATGCAGAACTAATAGGGAAAAACAAGTACAGCTGGCAGTGACCTCGTGAGGTTGTTTAGGCCAGAAGGCAAAATCTAATATGCCAATGAATTTCATCCCTTTACTTTTCACGAGCAACGATTTTAGAAAGGTTGA